TCGGACGATATCAGCAACCAAAAACCGGTCGCACACACACAATTTACGCATACACGTATATATCCGACATTTGACTTGCAGACTTACCGCGACCGCAACGGGCTGCAGTCGGACTTCAGATTCGCTCGAAATGTCGCTCAAAGGTTCGGTCTTTTGTTTCCTAAATAGTTTCTTTTTCACAGCTATTATACTCCTCGCATTCTTGTGTTCGGTCGGCTTCACTTTTGTACTCACGGCATGCGCTCTTCCCGCGTTTAAGTAAGCTATTTACACGTCCTACTAACATCTTAGCAATTGGGTACCACTGTCGATTATTCCATTGTACCTCATTTCGGCAATACCGTTGTTTTTGCGGATTCAGTGTCAAACGGTAGATGTCAGACCAGACGGCTTTTTGATCTTTTTGCACACCGTCTTCATGACTTCGACGCTTGCGCTGCCGATAGTGCTGGCGAATTCTCCAACTGCAGCTCAGGTAATACTTTATAGCTAACTACCTTTAGCTTTCAGATCCGATGGGGTGCCTGTGGCCTTACACTCACGGGTTGTCTTGTTATGTATGGTGCTCTTTACACAGTTGTCTACCAGGCCAGTCGTGATCCGCAGTTTTAACTGCTCTTTCATTAAAATCTCACTCTTCATCGTTTGTTACCATCGCGCCATGCTCGCTAACGGAATTTTGGCACGCTGACTGGATCCGTGTAACATGTTAACCTCCACTGCCTCACCTTCTCAGACAATTACTTTTTAGTGTCATTGTCCCTTCCGTGCACACAGAATACTTTGCCTTTGTATATTCACCAACTTAGATAATCGGACCTTATAACTCCAGGTGTTTTTTTTACTTACTCTTAGTACGTTGTCATGGCTCGATGTCTCGGAGTCGATGAGATGCCCTCGTGGGCTGGGGTTTAATACCGTAAGCACGGGTATGCGAAACCTCAAGAAACAGGCGTGTTTGATAGGGATACATTGGTCGAGGCGGTTGACGCCTTTCACTGAGCGCATAAAAACGGATAGAGGGGCTTATGTCTCGGGACAGCTCATTATATTAAGCAAGGTGAGTCTCAGGGCGCACGGATGCTCCCCTATTGCATGTTCTGAGGCCACCCTACGGCAGTTAAAAGATGCCGGCATTCATTTTGTGCACAAGCCTGCGGACAATGATTAAACGGGTCGAAGCTCACCCACCAAAGAGTTAGTAGACCGACTCTGTTTATCGCATTCCACGTGCCGACTGCTTTTTGATGTCTGTCGGCTATACAGGCTGGCGCCTTGCGACTTGAGCAGCCGCGGGCTGGCGACGTTAACAAAATGTGGGGGCTTGAGGCCCGGCAACCATCTACCCAATTGAAGGCTGCACAGGCCGAAGATGGCACTATGGCATGGCGGGCAGGAATCGCCGTCAAACAATTCTGTTCTACCACTGTTGTCTTGCGGGCTAGATCCGCATCCAAAGAATAAGTTGAGGACTAGTGACTACAGCCTGGACTACATCCCCAAACGTCCATCATATGAGACCTGCGTCTCGCGCCAATATTTTTGAGGGAGCCGACGCGTCCAGGGTTTAGCCAATGGAGCCGGATGGTGAGCGCGCAAGTTATCTCCTCCAGAGGGAGCAAGGAACTGCACATCGCATGCTCGAACGTGAGCATTCTTCTTGCCTCACCTTGCAAGCGTTGGCGCAATTCATTGTGTGTACACCGCCCACCCCACTCAGGCCCACGCAACGTTGGATTATCAAACGCTGAGAAATGCCCTCACCTCTACCGAACTCGCATCAACACCTACTCTGCCCGACATGGCGCCGCAATCGCTACAGGCGATCATGCCAAAGCTTCAGTCGTACGCCGGAGCCTTGTAGAACCAAGCATCGAACTAGTTAGTCTTGGGGCACTCTTTTTAGCGTCACAGTTGTTGCTGTCTGTGCCCTAGTGCTGGGTGCTGAGGTTACGCAGGAAGAGACTTCTTAAGGCGAACTTCGGACTGACTTTAGGTTTGTCTCAACGTGTGATCTTGTCGTTACGGCGGTCCGAAATGTCAGGAAGGGAACTGTGTGGTACATCTGCGAGGCGAGTCCTTGGCCACTGCCCAGTGGATGACCAATGTGAGCGTTGTGAGAGACCTGTGAATTTCTCCGCTCAGTCGTTTCATCGTTTGCGGTATCGGTCTCCAATATCTCGTGAGGCACCTGATTGCCTGGCTTCTAAGTGGTGCCCAAACACAAAATTAACTGCAATTTATGCTTGTTAAGACACTGGCCCAGCCCGATGGTAGATTACGGTGTGCCGTCAATGGTGAAGATGATTCTGACCGTGCTTCTATGAAAGCGTGGTGACTGCTCATGCCGTGTGTTGCCGGAGAGAGACGATAGTGGAACGACCTTCAGTGAAGGTTAGTTGCGAAATAAGCAGACCTAGGTCTGATGGATAAGCAGTCGCGGACCAGCATCGACAGTGCTACCAGGTTGCGGAGAGCTGAGGTCTGGCACACTAAAAGCCTTATAGAAAGCCGCAGAGCCAGATGACGTCATTGTGGCAGCGACCATGACAGTTCGACCATCGATTTCGATGATGTCCACCGTGTGCCCCACAGCTGCAGCAGCGGTGGGAGCAGGGACTGTGACTTGCGCAGGGGTTTATAGTGCGGGCAGACTTGCGCTGCATCTACCTACACTCTCTCCTCCTCCCCCGCCTGGGCCCGGTGTCAAGACAGAGTCAAGAAGACCGGAGACGAGGGAGGCCGCAGGTGGATGGCTCGGACGTATCCTCACCTTGGCGTTCCACCACACCCTCTGGTCCACACAACAATAACCAGGATTTCAACCAACACAACAAACATTTGGAGGCTGGCACGGCCGAAGCCGCACCTGGGCGTGCCGCCAACGCCTGGCTCGGATCTCACGCTGTGGTGGGAATGCCATAAAGGCCACATTAAAAAGGAGCCATTGCAGCCTGACTCTCAGACCGCCTCCAGTGAAGGAAGAGGTCCAAGGTACCCCGTCAGTTGGCAACCTTCCAAGCCACGGCTTTTAGCGCACCGTGATAGCTTCAAGCGCGTCAGATTGATTATAGTGAGGAAAGTGCGCTGAGTCGTCGACCTCACTCTCCCTTCCCATTCCCACACTCCAGCCGCCGTCCGAGCCGGTCGGCAAACTGGAGTGGGGAATGGACTCGGTGGCTGACATGGTCGACTGACCATGCCTGCGCGCGCCACAGCACGACCTGGCCCCCCATACACACACAAACACCAGGATTTCACACAACGGGGGTTGAGCGGCTTGTCTCTCACTTGCGTGAGAGGGCCGTGGAAGGTGCTGCTTCAGCCCGTCCCCAGCCCACCAGTCCGCCACTCCACACAACACATACACAACGTGACGAACTGTGTGAACCGAGAACGGGCGTCTATCAGCAACCTTCCTATCCACGACACTTGGCGTGTCGGGATAGCCTCGGACTCAAGTCAACCGTGCAGCCGAGGCCGCATGGGGACCGAGTCGAGATGCACACTTCCCACTTGCGTGGAAGGTGGCAGTTGGTGCATGCGGTGGGCGAGTGTTGATGCGTAGTGGTAATGGTGGAGGAGGGTATGGAGTGTGTGAATGTGTGGTGTAACCGGCGGTTGTCTACCGCAGGTCGTCGTGGATGCGCATGTGACCGAATAGACCCATGCGGTGCCTGAAGGTTCGAAGACAGTGTGGGCAGTTGAGTCGAGCTTGGTGGGTGTAGGTTGGTGCTCCAGGCACTGGTTCTCCATTCTCTGTGCGATGTATTCGCAAGTGACCGACCAGGCCGATGTGTGAGGTGAATGTGCGTGGACAGTGTGGGCATGTGAATTCGGCGGTGTCAGTGTCAGCCACAGAGGAGGCGTTGGTGGTGGTGCAGACGGATGGTGGGAGGGTGGTGCTGAGCATGATGGGCGTGGTTGGTGTATCGGAATTGTGGTCAATTCCGCTCTCATGGATACGTATGTGACCGAATATACCCATTCGATGCATGAAGGTGCGAGGGCAGTGGAGGCGAGTGCGGTGGGTGTAGGTTGGTGCTCCAGGCACTGGTTCGCCAGTCTCTGTGCGATGGATTCGCAAGTGACCGACCAGGCCGATGCGGGAAGTGAAGGTGCGACCACAGTGAGGGCAGATGTTGTCCTGGCCCTCACCTCTGATGATGAAGGTTGCAGGGGTTGTGCCTGTTGTTGTGTCAGGTGCGGCTGTGGTGAAGTCGTGCGCTACAGACGCCGGAGTGGCCGTCGTTGTGGCAGTGAAGGAGGAGTGAGGGGTGGTAGAGTCGGTGGCGTCGATGTCGGTTGAGGAGTGGTTGGTGGGTGCGCAAGGTGATGAATTAGGAGTGGGGCTCGGAGGGGTGGGTGTGTCGAGGTTGCGGTCAATTCCGCTCTCGTGGATGCGCATGTGGCCGAATAGACCCATGCGGTGAGTGAAGGTGCGAGGACAGTGTGGGCAGTGGAGGCGAGTGCGGTGGGTGTAGGTTGGTGCTCCAGGCACTGGCTCGCCAGTCTCTGTGCGATGGATTCGCAAGTGACCGACCAGGCCGATGCGTGAGGTGAAGGTGCGACCGCAGTGAGGGCAGGTGTAGTCCTGATCCTCATCACTGGAATCGGGAGAGGTGGGGGTGGTGTCGGTTGTTGTGTCGGGGTTGATGTGCGAGACGGCCGCCTGAGCGGCCGCCGCTGGTGCAGTGGGCGAGGAAGAGGAGGAGGATGATGATGATGAGAGCAGTCCAGGCGTCCTGCATCTCGCGCAGACGTTGCTGAAGTTGGCGCCGACTACGGTAGAAGGCAGCTTTGGTGGCATCAGTGGGGTGATCTACGTAGGCTTCGTGTAGGCGGTTCTTCTCAGCAAGCAGATTTCTGATGGCGGCGTCGTCGTCGAATCAGTCCTGGTGTTGACGGGGAGCGCGACCAAGGACGGCGAGCGCCGTCGACTGGACCGTGTCTCTTAATTGACCCCAGTGGTTCTCCACGGAGGCGTTCTCGGCAGCGGCGGCGTCGTCGGCGGCAGCGACTGGAAGGTTGTCTAGCCGTTGAGCTAGCTCATTGCTGAAATGAAGACGGTGAGCGGGCAAAGACAACAAAGCAACATTCAGCTTACCTGGGGGTCGCTTACCTTGTGGTCTCCTGCGAGGCTGTAGGCGAATACGCATCTTCGAGA